AATTGTCAGGGGTTGAGAGGAGGGGAAACTGGAGAGTTATTATCTTTTTTTTTTTTTTTTTAGACACAGTCTTGCTCTGTTGTCCAGGCTGGAGTGCAGTGGTGTGATCTCGGTTCACTGCAATCCCTGCCTCCCAGGTTCAAGCCATTCTCGTGCCTCAAGCTCCAGAGTAGCTGGGATTACAGGCACGTGCCGCCACACTTGGCTAATTTTTGTATTTTTAGTAGAGATGGGGTTTCACCATGTTGGCCAGGCTGGCCTCAAATTCCTGACCTCAAGTGATACATCCACCTCGGCCTCCCAAAGTGCTGGGATTATAGGCATGAGCCACTGCACCTGGCATGGATAGTTGTTGTCTAATGGCTAAAGAGTTTCAGTTGGGGAAGATGAAAAAGTTCTGGGGATGGATGCTGGCGATGGTTGCACAACAATGTGAATGTATGTTATCCACTGAAGGAGTTAAGGATGATCAACCTGAAAATATGCAGACTGGGGCCAGGTGCAGTGGCTCATGCCTGTAATCCCAAGAGTTTGGGAGGCTGAAGCGGTAGGATTACTTGAGCCCAGGAATTCAAAACCAGCCTGGGCAATAGAGGGACCTCAACTCTACAAAAAAAAAAAATTTTTTTTTTTTTAATTAACTGAGCGTGGTGGCACGTGCTTATAGTCTCAGCTACCTGGGAAGGCTGAAGTGGAAGGATTGCTTGAGCCCAGGAGGACACAGCTGCAGTAAGCCGTGACCAGCTACACTCCAGCTTGAGTGGCAGAGCGAGACCCTGTCTCAAAAAAGAAAAATGTTGGTCCGGCGCTGTGGCTCACGCCTGTAATCCCAACACTATGGGAGGCCCAGGCGGGTGGATCACGAGGTTAGGAGATCGAGACCATCCTGGCTAACATGGTGAAACCCCGTCTCTACAAAAAAAAAAAAAAAAAAAAAAAAAAAATGCGGCCGGGCGCGGTGGCTCAAGCCTGTAATCCCAGCACTTTGGGAGGCCGAGATGGGCGGATCACGAGGCCAGGAGATCGAGAGACGATCCCGGCTAACACGGTGAAACCCCGTCTCTACTAAAAAATACAAAAAAACTAGCCGGGCGAGGTGGCGGGCGCCTGTAGTCCAGCTACTCGGAGGCTGAGGCAGGAGAACGGCGTAAACCCGGGAGGCGGAACTTGCAGTGAGCTGAGATCCGGCCACTGCACTCCAGCCTGGGTGACAGAGCAAGACTCCGTCTCAAAAAAAAAAAAAAAAAAAAAAATGCAAAATATTAGCCGGGCGTGGCGGCGGGTGCCTGTAGTCCCAGCTACTTGGGAGCCTGAGGCAGGAGAATGGTGTGAACCTGGAAGGCGGAGCTTGCAGTGAGCCGAGATCACGCCACTGCACTCCAACCTGGGCGACTAAGCAAGACTCCGTCTCAAAAAAAAAAAAAAAAATGCAGATTTAGTAAACTGATTATTTCAGATTGAAGGCATTTGAGAAACTGCGGTTGCAGTTCATCACAGCAGAAAAAAAATTATACACACACAAAAATGTCTAGGTTTTGTTTACCTGGGTATTTTATTTTCTTTCTTTTTTTTTTTTTTTTTTTTTTGAGACGGAGTCTCGCTCTGTCGCCCAGGCTGGAGTGCAGTGGCCGGATCTCAGCTCACTGCAAGCTCCGCCTCCCGGGTTCGGCCATTCTCCTGTCTCAGCCTCCTGAGTAGCTGGACTACAGCGCCCGCCACCTCGCCCGGCTAGTTTTTTGTATTTTTTAGTAGAGACGGGGTTTCACCGTGTTAGCCAGGATGGTCTCGATCTCCTGACCTAGTGATCCGCCCATCTCGGCCTCCCAAAGTGCTGGGATTACAGGCTTGAGCCACCGCGCCCGGCCTTTTATTTTCTATTTTAAATTGCAAAGAAAGAAAAGAACATAGCAAAGGGTATGAAAATTCATCAAAGCAAATGGCCAATAAATATGAAAAAAGATTCTCAACCTCAGTAATCAGACAAATGCAAATGAAAGCAATAATCTTTTTTAAAATTTTTAAATCATCAGAGCAGCAAAATATTGAAAGGTTGATAATGTCATATTTTGTTAAGGGTATAGGAAAAGCCATATTACAATCTGCTAATGGTAATATAATATAATTATTAAAATTGTATCAAATAACTTTAATAAATGGTCATGTAATTTTATATAATTTATTAAAATTTAAATAAGATACGCTATGATGCAATAATCCTACCTATATCTGCCCTAGAGAAATATTTTGGAGTCCATGGAAATATGTCCAAGGATGTTCACAACAGCATCTGTGTGATAAGAAAAATTAGGAACAGCCTAACATACAGGCTATTACGCAGCAGTGAGCAGCAGTTAGCAGCAGTTAAAAGGGATGAACCCATGCTACCTACCTACAAGGAAAGATCCTTAAGACACATGGTTGGCCAGGTGCGGTGGCTCACCTCTGTAATCCCAGCACTTTGGGAGGCCGAGGTAGGCGGATGACGAGGTCAGGAGTTTGAGACCAGCCTGGCTAACATGGTGAAACCCCATCTCTACTAAAAATACAAAAATTAGCTGGGTGTGTTGGCGGGTGACTGTAAGTCCAGCTACTCAGGAGGCTAAGGCAGGAGAATCTCTTGAACCCAGGAGACGGAGGTTGCAGTGAGCCAAGGTCCCCAGCCTGGGTGACAGAGCAAGACTCTGTCTCAAAAAAAAAAGGAAATAAGATAATCTAAATTGCAGTCTTGGTGGAGTGCAGTGGCTGACGCCTATGGCAGAAGGATCACTTGAGTGGAGGAGTTCGAGACCAGCCTGGGCAATGAAGTCTACAAAAAATAAACAATTTAGCTGGACGTTGTGGTGCTGCTGTAGTTCCAGCTATTTGGGAGGCTGAGGGGGAAGGATTGTTTGAGCCCAAGAGTTTGACGCTGCAGTGAGCTATGATTAAGCCATTGCACTCCAACCTGGGTGACAGAGGAGACACTGTTTCTAAAATAAGAGCATTTTTAAAAAACATAATCACCATATAATTGTCACCCTTAATACATGTAATAATTCCTTAATGTCATTTATTATCTGGTTATTGAAATTGGTTGGTTTAGGGCGCAGTGGCTTGTACCTGTAATCCAGCACTTGAGCTCAGGAGTTCGAGACCAGCCTGGGCAGCATGGTGAAACCACGCCTCTACTAAAAATACAAAAATTAGCCAGGTATAGTGGTGCGTGCCTATAGTCCCAGCTACTTGGGAGGCTGGGGCAAAAGCATCGCTTGAACTTGGGAGGCAGAGGTTGCAGTAAGCCAAGATTGCACCACTACACTCCAGCCTGGGTGACAGAGTGAGACTCTGTCTGAAAAAAAAATTTTTTTAAATAAGAAATTGGTCGGTTTATTCAAATCAGAATCCAAACAAGAGTCACCCATTGCAATTAGTTGTGCCTCCACGTCTCTTTTATTCACAACGGTCTTCTCGTCTTTTTTTTTTTTTTTTTTTTGAGACGGAGTTTCGCTCTTGGTGCCCAGACTGGAGTGCAATGGCACAATCTCAGCTCACTGCAAAGTTCACCTCCTGGGTTCAAGCAATTCTCCTGCCTTGGCCTCCTGAGTAGCTGGGATTACAGGCATGTACCACCACACCTGGCTAATTTTTGTATTTTTAGTAGAGACGGGTTTTCACCATGTTGGCCAGGCTGGTCTTGAACTCCTGACCTCAGGTGATCCACCCACCTCAGCCTCCCAAGTGCTGGGATTACAGGCGTAAGCCACCACGCCCAGCCTCCTTTGTTAATTTTTTTTTAGTTTGAAATAAGACTTACAGAAAAGTTGCAAGGTTAATACAACAGACTCCCATATGCCCTTTATCCAGATTCCCCAGTTGTTAGCATTTTACCACATTTGTTTAATTATTTTTCTCTCATATATAGGCATACATACATATATCATTTTAGCCACTTGAGAATGAATCGCAACAGTGTCCCTTTCCTCTAAATATTGGAGTAAAGAACAGAACATACTGTTAAATAGTCATGAGCAATGATCAATATTAGGAAACTTATATTCATACAATTCTATTATTTAATCTATGAGTTATTCATACTTTGCCAGTTGACCAACAATGTCCTTAATTTAAAAAAAAAAGTCTGTTCCAGGACCTAATCCATGATTAAACACTGCATTTATCTCTGTGTCTTTAGTTTCACTTACTCTGGAACAGCTCCTCAGTCTCTGTCTTTCATGACCTTGACATTTCCTAAGAGTACAGGCCAGTTATTTAATAGATTCTGTGAACTTGGAACAAATTTGTCTTTGATAATTTCTTGCTCTCTGTCATAACAGGATGCCCCACACCCATGTACATTTCCTGGTCCTGATTCTCAATGACCATTTCTTGCATGGGAAAGAAATGGGACCTGAGGCCAGGCAAGGTAACTCACACCTGTAATCCCAGAACTTCGGGAGACTGAGGCGGGCAGATCACCTGAGGTCAGGAGTTTGAGACCAGCTTGGCCAACATGATGAAACCCTGTCTCTACTAAAAATACAAAAACTAGCCAGGCACAGTGGTGAGTACCTGTCATCCCAGTCACTCAGGAGGCTGAGGCAGGAGAATCACTTGAACCTGGGAGGTGGAGGCTGCAATGAACCGAGATCACACCACTGCACTCCAGCCTGGGCCATAGTGCAAGACTCCATCTCAAAAAAAAAAAAAAGGGACCTAAATCCTGATGATAGAGCTATTGATTGGGGTGAGATGCAAGTGGGGACTGGGGTTGCAACCAGCTGAGCATCCCGGGACTGCCTCTCCTCCAGCCCTGGAGACTCCTCATTCTGGGGAATGGCAGCTTCATGCTGGTCTCTGTGGATGAGTTTCTCAGATGCCTGGGTGACACCAAGGTAGAGCGGGGAACCTGCAGACCTCGTCCCCTGCATAGTTCTGGGTGTGGCTCATCCAGGATAACCCTCGAATTTCCTCGTACCCGTTTTTTTTATGACAGATTTTATTGCATTTTAGGGCTTGAGAGGTTTACTTGTTTTTTCTTATCTAATATTATTGATTTACTGTAACCACCAGCAGGGCAAACACAAAATTGGGGCATCCACATGCTGTCAAGGAGGTGTCAAAATATGTGATAAACATAGAGTAACCCAGCAAAACAACTCAGACTATAATTACACAGTGAACGCACCCTGCTGCAGAGGACTTGCTCTGTCCCAGGCGGTACGGGTGGCTGCTCATCCATGGAGACGATTGTTCTTGGCAGGTCCTTCCTGCGGGGATGGATGCAGGGCAGAGGGTTACTGACTCACAGAGAATGGCTGCACTCAGTGGCAAAATCCTCTCTCTGATTTTTGTGAATGTTCTCACAGAAGAAATTCCTAAGTGATCTGCAGTCTCAGGGCTAGATTCCTACCACTACGCAATTCCTGGGCCACAGCTCCCAAGGAAACAGGGAGTCTGCAGGAACAGGTCAATAACTTACTGTTGCACCTCTGGTTTCTGAGTGTTCCAAACAGAAGGGTAGCAGAAAGTGCTGCAGGGCTGTTCGGGAAGAGGGCCTCAGGACAGAACTGCCAGTGTCAGAGAAGAGGCGGACTGGGGACATCAAAGGAGAGGGGAAAATGTATCCAGACAGGAATCTAAGTGCAGTTGTTTTCTTGAGAAGTCTCACCTCACTGAGACCTCACCTGAACATGAAACCATTTTCTTTTTCTTTCTTTTTTTATTTTTGAGATGGGGTCTGGCTGTTGCCCAGGCTGGAGTGCAGTGGGGTGATCTTGACTCACTGCAACCTCTGCCTCCTGGGCTTAAGCCATCCTCCCATCTCAGCCTCCCGAGTACCTGTAGTAAGGCACACACCATCATGCCCGGCTAATTTTTGTATTTGTAGAGATGGGGTTTTGGCCGGGCATGGGGGCCCACCCCTGTAATCCCAGCACTTTGGGAGGCTGAGGTGGGCAGATCACTTCAGGTCAGGAGTTCAAGGTCAACCTGTCCAATGTGGTGAAATCCCATCTCTACTAAACATATAAAAATTAGCCAGGCATGATGGTGGGCACCTGTAATCTCAGCTACTCAGGAAACTGAGGCAGGAGAATCGCTGGAACCCAGGAGGTAGAGGTTGCAGTGAGCCAAGATCACGCTACTGTACTCCAGGCTAGGCGTCGGACTGAGACGCTGTCTCAAAAAAGAAAACAAAAAACAAGAGATGGTGTTTTGCCATGTTTCCCAAGCTTGTCTTGAACTCCTGTGCTCAAGCAATCTGCCTTCTTTGGCCTCTCAAAGTGCTGGGATTCCAGGCATGAGCCATGGTACCCAGCCCATTTTCTATTTTCTAATCACTGCTTCCAATCACTCTATGCCAACTCCCTTCAGTCCTTTAGCAATATCTTGGGCAGATTCATCACTTTAGCCTGGTAAAGCTCAGACCAGCCCTGTTTCAAGCCCCACTCACATATCTGGTTCACAGTGCTTCACCTCCTCTTCCCAGCACAAGCTGGGCACTCACACTGCTTGCTGGGAGAATGAGGAGATTGGGGAGTGGGCCTGGTCCAGTTCTGTGATACCTGCTGCCTCCTCTCTTTACAAGGCCTCGCTTCCTAACTGCCCTGGTGTAGAGAGCAGGAAATGGAAGTGGTCAGGACACGGAAGAAGGCAGCAGAGGTGTCTTAATGTAGCTGGCTATAGGTCCAAGGTGAGGAGGCCCCAGGTCCAGATGGACTTGGTTCCATCTATTACTGCTGGCCTCTGTGGATAGGGTGGGCTCTGCATAGATGGTATCCCCTCTTTAACAAAGCCCTGCTCAGAAAACCCAGCCTAGTCTTCCCTGGCCCCACCAGGAAATCTACTTTCCAATCTCCAGAGGGGGGTCCTATTATTTGTTGCAGAGGCCACCTGGACAGCATGTGAGCTCTGCCCTTCCTCTCAACTTTGTGCTTCTTCCTATGGAGACGTTGAGGCTTTTCTGCACCTTCCAAAGGTCATGGGAGATGGCCTGGGGGTGCCCCCTTCTTGTTCCTCAACTCAGACAAGGTTTTCAAACCCTGCCAGCACGGGCCGCGCTCATGGATAGGTAGACTGCCTTCAGCAATCACAGCACTGTCAATGCTTGATTCCATTTCTAAATCTGTTTCCCAGGCTGGTCTGGAACTCCTAAATCTGGGCCACAGGCATAAAAGAAGCTGCATGTAATTAGTTTGCTTCTTTCCATAGACCTGTTTGTTGAAATGGAGTATTCTTCTGGCAAATCATCACATAGAAAACGCGGTGGGTACAAAGGGCCCAGATGGAAAGCCTGAAGAAAAAAACAAACTCTTTTTTGGTCTGATTTGGGTAGAAATGATACTCCGAAGCAGAATATCAGTTGCAAAGAGATCATTATCCTCACTCCCTAAGTAAATATCCAGGGGACAGACATTCTTTTAATCTTGGACGATTTTCACAAGCTGTATACCTCTGGGGATATTGACAAAGACATTTTCTTTTTTTTTTTTTTTTTTTTTTTTTGAGACGGAGTCTCGCTCTGTCGCCCAGGCTGGAGTGCAGTGGCCGGATCTCAGCTCACTGCAAGTTCCGCCTCCCGGGTTTACGCCGTTCTCCTGCCTCAGCCTCCCGAGTAGCTGGGACTACAGGCGCCCGCCACCTCGCCCGGCTAGTTTTTTGTATTTTTTAGTAGAGACGGGGTTTCACCGTGTTAGCCAGGATGGTCTCGATCTCCTGACCTTGTGATCCGCCCGTCTCGGCCTCCCAAAGTGCTGGGATTACAGGCTTGAGCCACCGCGCCCGGCGACATTTTCAACAGAACAAAAATCAATGATAATTATAGTTTGTGGCCTTTGAAGCAAAATAAAATGAGACCTATCAAGACACACCAAATCATTTACACCCCTTTTAAAACCAGTAAGAAGGCTAGTATGTCCAGGACAATAGCAAACTAGGGGCCTCAAAACACGTTTTTGGTCAGGCACAGTGGCTCACGCCTGTAATCCCAGCACTTTGGGAGGCCGAGGTGGGCAGATCACCTGAGGTCAGGAGTTCAAGGCCAGCCTGGGCAACATGGTGAAACCCCGTCTCTACTAAAAATACAAAAATTAGCCAGGCATAGTGGCAGATGCCTATAGTCACAGCTGCTCGTGAGGCTGAGGCAGGAGAATCACTTGAACCCAGGAGGCGGAGTTTGCAGTGAGCCGAGATTGCGCCACTGTACTCCAGCCTGGGAAATAGAGTGAGACTCCATTTCAAAAAAAAAAAGAAAACAAATCTGGTTGTTTAAGAGTCTGGGACCTCCCCCTTCTCTCTCTCTCTTACTCCTGCTTTCTCCTTGTGATGCGCCTGTTTCCCTTCGCCTTATGCCATGACTGTAAGCCACCTGAGGGGCTCATCAGAAGCAGATGCTGGCACCAAGCTTCCTATACAGAATCCAGAACCATGAGCAAATTAAACCTTTTTTCTTTATACATTACCCAGCCTTTATAAATTTCTCATGGCTTACTTCCTCCTTTTACCTGGTCACTTCCTCAGAGAGGCCTTCCCTAACCACAGCTCTTACTCCATGCTTCATTTTTCTATTTGTTTGTTTATTTATTGAGACAGAGTCCCCTTCTCTCGCCCAGGCTGGAGTGCAATGGTTTGATCATAGCTCACTGCAGCCTCCAACTCCTCAGCTCAAGCAATCCTCCTGCCTCAGCCTCCCCAGCAACAGGCATCACAGGCATGAGCCACCACACCCAACCCATTTTTAAAATTTTATGCACAGATAGGGTCTTACTATGTTGTCCAGGCTAGTCTCAAACTCCTGGACTCAAGCGATCTTTCTGCCTCCGCCTCCCAAAGTGCTGGGATTACAGTCATGAGCCTTGGTGCCCTGCCACACATTTTTCTTCAGAGCATGGATTATTATCTGTCTAATTGATTCTCCACTGTCTCTGTTCTAGGAGCTTACCTCAATGAAGGCAGGACTGCTATATTTTGTTCATCGCTATGTCCACGGCACCAATAGTGCCTGGTGTTGGAGAAATAATCATTAAAAATAAGTCTCCTGCTACTCCAGAAAACTGCTCCACAAAGGCGCCTTTAGCACACAGCTAGTATTATTGCTACTACCTTTTAATGTGGAGCGCTTCACAAATGTGCCTGTCATCCTTGCACAGGGGTCATGCTAATTTTCTCTGTGTGGTTCCAGTTTTAGTATATCTGCTGCCAAAGCAGGCACAGCACAGGTTATTAATATTGCAGGCTAAGTACAATGTGGCCATTAATTTTCAACCCTTCCTCTCTGGGGACTGGTGGCCAGGGTAGAGTTTTCCTGCTAGAATCTCATCCTCTGCCTTTCGTGTGCTGATGCCCCGTGTTACTCCGTGAGCCTCACTGGCCAGGTAGGGAACACTGGATAGGGAACCTTCCAGTACCTGAGCTGGCCAAGTGCCCCTCCTCTGTGTCTCTACTGGCCCCGTGTGTTTTCTGTCACTCATTGATACAACAGTTTACAGTACTTACCCCAGGAGTTAGTATAGTAAACTCTTAGGAAATGTGAACTGAATTAATTCACAAGCAAAACCTTTGAGTTCGTGTCACATTTCTTTTAGATTGCACCCATTACCACAATACTGGGCTGTGGTGTAGGCCTCCCTTGCTATCAAACTCATTCTTCTAAAAGGAGAGTACATGGGAAGGTGGAAGGACTTCCCATGTCCCAGGAAATGGTTGGCTATAATCTTAGAAAATGAACTAGGGCCCGGGCATGGTGGCTCACGCCCGTAATCCCAGCACTTTGGGAGGCCAAGGTGGGCAGATCACCTGAGGTCAGGAGTTTGAGACCAGCCTGGCCAACATGGGAAACCACTTCTCTACTGAAAATACAAAAATTGGCTGGGCGTGGTGGCGCACGCCTGTAATCCCAGCTGTTTGGGAGGCTGAGACAGGAGAATTGCTTGAACTCGAGAGGCAATGGTTGCAGTGAGCCAAGATGGCACCACTGCACTCCAGCATGGGCAACAGAGCGAGACTTCCATCTCAAAAAAAAGAAAATGAGGCCAAGCGTGGTGGCTCATGCCTGTAATCCCAGCACTTTGGGAGGCCGAGGTGGGCGGATCACCTGAGGTTAGGAGTTCAAGACCAGCCTGGCCAACATGGTGAAATCCCATCTCTATTAAAAATACGAAAATTAGCCAGGCATGGTGGCGCATGCCTATAGTCCCAACTACTTGGGAGGCTGAGGCAGAAGAATCGCTTGAACCCGGAAAGTGGAGGTTGCAGTGAGGCGAAATCGCGCCACCGCACTCCAGCTTGGGCAACAGAGCAAGACTCCGCCTCAAAAAAAAAAGAAAATGAACTAGGGTTCTTTGGTCATTATTAGAGCCTTAGGAGAACAAGAAATATGGCAATTGTATTCAGAGACCAAAGAAATGTTGTCAAACAAGTCTATTAGGGCCTGTCTGAGTTTTTCAGCTACCTGAAAGACCAGCTGCTGCAGCCCAAAGGGACTTAAATCAGCCACCCAGCCCAGGTTCAGTCTTCCAAGTCAGCCACACCCGAGGATCACGACCATCCAGGAGGTAGAACGGTCTGTAAGGAGGAAATACCAGAAAGCTCACTTAATATTGAATCCTTGCCTAGGGCACCTTAATTATCTACTCCTTTATTAAACAACAGAGTTGCAAATTAACATCTTTTCTGTTTTTACCAGTTGGCATTATTTTTGCCTTTGTGTTACTATGCAAATATTTTAAGAAATAGATATGCCTGTTGAGCCTGTTACAAGGACAAATATTGCAGTTTTAGGAGCCAGGGGCATTGTTAGAATTGTTAGAAACAAGAAAAAAGAAAACACTGGCCGAAGAGGAGTGTAAAACTCTTTCACCTTTATACTTGCACAAGAAGAGTGCCATTCCTGGACTTCGCACTTTAGAAAACCCCAAATCACAGATGTACAAATGGAAAATTACTAAAGAACAACAGGAACCTGGCCGGGCGCGGTGGCTCATGCCTGTAATCCCAGCACTCTGGGAGGCCCAGGCGGGCGGATCACGAGGTCAGGAGATCAAGACGATCCTGGCAAACATGGTGAAACCCCGTCTCTACTAAAAATACAAAACATTAGCCGGGCGTGGTGGCGGGTGCCTGTAGTCTCAGCTAGTCGGAAGGCTGAGGCAGAAGAATGGCGTGAACCCGGGAGACAGAGCTTGCAGTGAGCCAAGATCGAGCCACTGCACTCCAGCCTGGATGAAAGAGCAAGACTCTGTCTCAGAAAAATAAAAAATGAACAGCAGGCACTTACGTTGCTTGGATCTGGTGAACGGTGATAGTGCGGCACAATCTAGAGCCTTCGACACAGGCATTTGTGACTCACACTGTTCAGGCCCCAGAGAAAGTCTTCTCCACATCACTTGCCCTATGTCTTCAGAATCAAAGGTGACAGTGTCTGGCTGCTATCTAGATTTGTGGGTTCTTCGGAGGCAAGCACTGACTCAAGATGTGGGAAGAATGTGAGCAGCACAGGTGCTTGGTAATAAAAAGAACTAATTAATAAGCTTGTCAATTCCTACTTTCAGAGAGCAGAAATACAAATGATTTTTGTATAACAAAACACATTTCCCTACTCTTTTTTTTGAGACAGAGTCTCGCTCTATTGTCCAGGCTGAAGTACAATGGCATGATCTCAGCTCACTGCAACCTCTGCCACCCGGGTTCAAGCAGTTCTCCTGCCTCAGCCTCCCAAGTAGCTGGGATTACAGGCGTGCACCACCACACCCAGCTAATTTCATATTTTTAGTAGAGATGGTGTTTCACCATGTTGGCCAGGCTGGTCTTGAACTCTTGACCTCAGGTGATCTGCCCACCATGGCCCCCCAAAGTGCTGGGATTACAGGCGTGAGCCACCGCGACCAGCCACATTTTCCCACTTGTATTGATTGTCCAATTCCTGATTCTGGAAGTACTCCCAAATCAGTGCAATATTTGTCACAGTTCTAAAGAATATTTGTGGCTACACGTGGTAGCTCACACCTGTAATCCCAGCACTTTGGGATGCCAAGGCACGAGGACTGCTTGAGCCGAGGAGCTCAAGACGAGCCCGGGAAACAGACTGAGACTCTGTCTCTACAAAATTTAAAAAATTAAATTAAACTAAATTTTGCAATAGTAAAAACCTCATATCACTTCTAGGTTTGGATAAATTGGATCTAGATGTAATGTGTGAAATGTGATGCCATTTCTTTATGTTGGCAACTAGATGGACATTGAACACTAAAATTGTGGACAGTTTCTTTTTGCATAAAAATATTTTTACAGGCTATACCTTGTTTTATTGCATTTCACTGTATTTTGCAGATAGTGCTGTTTTACAAGCTGAAGGTTTACAGCAACCCTCCATCAAGTAAGTCTATCGGCCTCATGTTTTCAACAGCAAGTGCTCTACTTCATGTCTGTGTCACATTTTGGTAATTCTTGCCATATTTCAAACTTTTTCTTTCTTTTTTCTTTTTTTCTTTTCTTCTTTTTTTTTTTTTTAGACAGAGTCTCGCTCTGTCGCCCAGGCTGCAATGCAGTGACGTGATCTCAGCCACTGCAACCTCCACCTCCTGGGTTCAAAGGATTCCTCAGCCTCAGCCTCCCGAGTAAATGGAACTACAGGTGCATGCCACCACGCCTGACTAATTTTTGTATTTTTAGTAAAGACAGGGTTTCACCATGTTGGCCAGGCTGGTCTCGAACTCCTGACCTCAAGTGATCTGCCCGCCTCGGCCTCCCAAAGTGTTAGGATTACAGGCATGAACCACTGCACCCGGCCACCAAACTTTTTCTTTTTCTTTTCTTTTTTTTTTTTTTTTTTGAGATGGAGTCTCACTCTATCGCCCAGGCTGGAGTGCAGTGGTGCCATCTTGGCTCACTACAACCTCTGCCTCCCTGGTTCAAGTGATTTTCCTGCCTCAGCCTCCCAAGTAGCTGGGATTACAGGCACGTGGCCCCACGCCTGGCTAATTTTTTGTATTTTTAGTACAGATGGGGTTTCACCATCTTGGCCAGGTTGGTTTTGAACACCTGACCTCGTCATCCACCTGCCTCGGCCTCCTAAAGTGTTGGGATTACAGGCATGAACCACCGTGCCTGACCCAAACTTTTTCATTATTATTATATTTGTTATGGTAATCTATGATCAGTAATCTTTGATGTTCCTATTGTAATTCTGGGGGGCACCAGGAACCATGCCCAGTAAGACGGCAAAACTTAATAAATATTGTAGTCTGACTGCTCAAGTGAAAGGAAGAATCATGCGTCTCTTGCTTTCAGTCAAAAGCTAGGAATGATTAAATTAGAAATGAAGAAGGCATGTAGAAACCTGAAACAGGCTAATAGCTAGGCCTCTTGCACCAATTAGCCAAGCTGTTAATTCAAAGGAAAAATTTTTGAAGGAAATTAGAAGTGCCACTCCATGGAACACATAAACGATAAGAAAGTGAAACATGGCTGGGCACGGCAGCTTGGCTGGGCACAGTGGCTCACACCTGTAATCCCAGTACTTTGGGAGGCCAAGGTGGGTGGGCAGGTCACTTGAGGTCAGGAGTTCGAGACTAGCCTAGACAACATGGCAAAACTCCATCTCTACTAAAAATACAAAAAAAATTTAGCTGGGTATGGTGGTGCACACCTATAATCCCAGCTACTCTGGAGGCTGATGCACAAGAATCGCCTGAACTGAAGTGGAGGTTTCAGTGAGCCAAGATTGTGCCACTGTACTCCAGCCTGGGCAATAGAGCAAGAATCTATTTAAAAAAAAGAAAGAAAGAAAGAAAGAAAGTGAAACAGTCTTATAGCTGTTACAAAGAAAGTTTAGTGGTCTGGATAGAAGATCCAGCCAGCTACAATATTCCCTGAAGCCATAGCCTATTCTGGAGCAAGGCTGGAACTCTCTTCAGTTCCATGAAGGCTAAGAGAGGTGAGGAAGCTGCAGAAAGAAGTTAGAAGCTAGCAGAGGTTGGTTCATAAAGATTACGGAAAGAAGCCATCTCCATAAATGAAAATGCAAGGTAAAACAGCAAGTTTGGCTGTAGAACCTGTAGCATGTTATCCAGATCTAGCTAAGATCATTGATGAAGGTGGCTACAGTAAATAACAGATTTTCAATTTAGAAGAAACAGCCTTACATTGGAAGATGCCATCCAGGACTTTTCTAGCTAGAAAGGAGTTAATGCCTGGTTTCAAAGCTTCAAAGTACAGGCTGACTTGTTAGGGGCTAATGCAGTTGGTGACTTTTAAGTTGAAGTCACTGCTTATTTACCATTCCAAAAATCCTGTGGCTCATAAGAATCATGCTAAAGCTACTCTGCCTGTGCTCTGGAAGTGGAATGACAAAGCCTGCATGACAGCACATCTCATTTAGAGAATGATTTACTGAATATATATATATAGAAGGAGTCTCACTCTGTCGCCCATGCTGGATCTTGGCTTACTGCAACCTCCACTTCCCGAATTCAAGTGACTCTCCTGCCTCAGACTCCCAGCTAGCTGGGATTACAGGCGCATGCCACCATGCCTGGCTAATTTTTTGTATTTTTAGTAGAGATGGGTTTCACCGTGTTAGCCAGGATTGTCTTGATCACCTGACCTTGTGATCTGCCCACCTCAGCCTCCCAAAGTGCTGGGATTACAGGCGTGAGTCACCGCACCCAGCCAGATTTACTGAATATTTTAAGCCCACTGTTGAGACCTACTGCTAAGAAGAAGAGACTCTTTTGAAAATATTACTGCTCATTGACAATGTACCTGGTCACCCAAGAGCTCTGATGTAGATATACAAGAAAATTAATGTTTTCATGCCTGTTAACACAACGTTCATTCTGCAGCCCATGGAATAAGGAGTAATATTAACTTTCAAGTCTTCTTATTCAAGCAATATATTTTGTAAGGATATAGCTGCCATAGATAGTGATTTGTCTGATGGATCTAGGCAAAGTAAATTGAAAACCTTCTAGAAAGGATTCATCATTTTAGAGTCCCTGAAGAACATTCATGATTTGTGGCTAGAGGTCAAAATATCAACATTAACAGGAGTTTGGAAGAAGTTGGTTCCAACCTTGGTGGATGACTTTGAGGGACTTAAGACTTCAGTAGAAGAAGTCACCGCAAATGTGGTATAAACAGCAAGAGAAGCAGAATTAGAGGTGGAACCTGAAGATGTGGCTGAGTTGCTGCAATCTCATGATCAAACTTCTATGGATAAGAAGTTGCTGCTTATGCATGCACCAAGAGGGTTTCTTGAGGTGGAATCTACTCCTGGTGAAGATCCTGTGAACACTGTTGAAATGAAAACAGCCCCCGCTGGCTGCTCTGAAAAGCCATGTTTGCATTGTTCCTCGTCTGACTCCTTGGTTCCTCCTCCACCACGGACTCCAGCAGCTTTATTGCCAGAGTCCTGGAATTCTTGCTTTCTTTTTAATCCCCTGCACTGGATCACCGGCGTGCCCCACCATGTCAGATGCAGCCATAGACACCAACTCCAAGATCACCACCAGGGACTTAAAGGAGAAGAAGAAAGTTGTGGAGGAGGTGGAAATGGAAGAGATGCC